CACACACACACACACACACACACACACACGTAGTTTGAGGCTTCCTTTCATAATAAAAAACTCCTTTGACATAAGGTGACTTGGGACCCAGAAAAGTAGGAACTCTATTTGAAGGAGGGCAGCAGGGTCTCACTAGATTAGATAGCCCTGGCTGTCCTGGAACTAGCTATAGATTCCAGGCTGGACTTGCATTTGCAAACATCTGCCTGTCTCTACATCAACAGTGCTCAGATGAAACACGGCCTGACCAACAAGGAACTCTTAAGGCGCGTTAGGGAAGACATAAAGAGTTGGTTCAAGACAGATCAAAGGGATCATGAGTACAGAAAATTTACTTTAATATTTCAGTATTTGAAAGTATGACAACTTGGGAATTATTTTTTTAATAAATGTAGAAATGTCAGTTACTTAGATAAATTATTTTAAATGGGCAACCAGAGTGAATACACACACCTGTAGCCATGTTATTTATATGATAGAAATCCACTTGCATCCAGGAGTTTGAGGCCACCCTCCAAACCACAGCAAGACTCCACCCTAGCTCAAAAGTGAGCAAACAGTGCCCCTCTTATACCAGTGCTAAGCTTTTAACCCCCCAAATAATAAAACATCATTTAAAAAATTAACTGAAAAAAATTATGCTTGTCTCAGTAGAGAGAAAACTTTCCATTATAATGTAAGTGAAGCATTCACTAGTAACTAAACTTATCCGAGGGCATGATTTGGATCTTTAGAGTGATGTGTATGTAGGCTGTCATAGAACTCCTACACTTGAGTGATCCACCTGTCTCAGCTTTCTAAGAAGCTTGGACTATAGATTCATGCCAACATGTACCCTAGCAGAGAAGATGATACTATAGAAGAAATAGTAAAATAGGTATGCCATTTAAAATACAAATATAAGAGCTATAGAAATGACTGAGTAGTGAAGAGCACTAGCTGCTCTTGCAGAGGACCCAAGTTCAGTTCCTAGCGCCCAAATGCAACTCCAGTTCTAGGAAATCAGATGGCCTCTTCTGACCTCTGTCTGCCAGCACCAGACACTCACATGGTACATATACATACATGCATGCAAAATACTCATACACTAAAATGATTTTTTTTAAAAAAATAAAGATAAAAATTAGAAGAGTTGGAAATGTGCCATTGAAGATAATGAATGATTGAATACTGTTTGACTTAGATTAGGTGGCTATTTTGATAAGAACATTTAATTAATCATAAAAGTAAAGTTTTATACACACACACACACACACACACGATTAAGAAAAATCTTAATACAGATGTATCATTCACAGATGAGCACTATATGGTCTCCTCCTTGCATGTTGGCTGGTTATGGGTCTCTATGTTAATTGCCATCTTCTGCAAGAAGATTCCCTGATGAGATTTGAAAGATGCTCTGATCTCTGGGTGCAGCAATAATCATTAGGGGTAAATTTACTACTTATGTCCATTTAGCAGAAAAGTAGTGATAAGTCCTCCCCTCAGCCTTTGACTTATACAGCCAGAGGTTCAAAACAGCCATTCATAATGCCTTCTACTTTTTGTCTGGTGATCATATTCATGATTTTGTTTTTATTTTATGGTTTTGTTTCTGAGGCTAGTGTCCCAGGGCGTGTACATGCTAGGCAAGTGTTTTACGAGTGAGCTGCGCGTCTAGCTCTTGTGGTTATGATTTGAGGTATGTCTTTTGGTGAAGTGTAAAGCTATGTAGCTCTCCTGTCACCCAGCTGGCCAAAGGATGGCTGTGTCAGACTGCATTGTAGACATCAAGTTAATAGTGTACTTTGAGAGGAATGTGCATTTGGCCTATGACCATCGTCGGTCTTTCGTCCCTGAGCCACTAATCCACAGCCAGGAAGCAGCCGTGACCCAGTTGGGTGAGGCACAGGGTTATTCTGCCAGTGGGAACATGGCATTTCTGGCAAGAGATTTCTCTTCTAACTGTTGGAGTTGGTGCCATGGCAGGTTTTCCTGACTAGGGGAGCGAAGTGTTGAACCTCCATCCAGCTGGTAGATTATTTGTTGGTTTTGATTATCTGTCCCAGTGAGCTCCTTTGCTGGCACACATAATCAGAAGCAGGTCACTGTTCAAAAAGGAACTTTGTATTTTGAAATGAGATAAAAATTTAACTCAGTTTATATCAAGATTATGCTTTTATAGAGGAAGGTGAGGTTTGTTGGATTAAAGTGTTTTGTTTCTGGGTGGGGCTAGGATTAGAACACAGGGCTTCATGTGTCCTAGGTAGGAGCCATACCCTCAGCCCCCAATCAGAAATGCTTAGGGACAGCCATGTTTCCTCTGCCAGGTTATTCCTTCTGATCCCATTCTTTCTGATCTTTACCATGTCCTTTGGAGACAGGTCCAGTCATTACTCTGATTTTAGGTTGAAGAGAGTGTATGAGAGTTGAGTGACTTGTCCAAGGTCATGGGGGAGGGAGGGGTTGTGTGCAAAGCCCTGAGCTCTGAGTAGTGTGGGCTCTTGAATGTTCTTTGCCTGTAGGTTTGACTGACTTTTAGTGCAGCTGCTTTATTATGTGAGGATATGAAAACAGCTGCTGTAAACCTAAAATGGTATAAAGTACATGTGTTGTTATTGAATAATGCTTACAAAATTTGAATCTATTTTTTTAAGGAAGTTTGAATTTTGTTTTCTTTCTGTCACTCTTCTGTATCCTCCTAATGAAATACACTAGTGTATATGTTTAGTCTTTTATCTCTGTCTCTGTCTCATGTGTGTATATGTGTGTGTCAGTCTCTCTCTCTCTCTCTCTCTGTGTGTGTGTGTGTGTGTGTGTGTGTGTGTAGGTCGGGGTCAATGTCAGATGTTTTCAACTATAGCTCTCCACCTTATTTGGAACTGGGGTTCTCGCACTAACCCTGAAATTTATCAAGTGGATTAGACTGGCTAACTAGCAAGCTCCTGGAATCCTTTGTCCAAGCTTTGGGGTTGCAGGGCAGCACCCCAGCTTGGCTTTCTGTGGGGTTCAGGTCACTAGGCTTGCACCACCAAGTCTTCACTCACTGAGATATGTCCTCAGCCAGATACATCTCATTTTTTTCTATAAAATCATCATTTTTTAAAAATGTTTCTGATTTAAGTTTCTCTACCCTGTCTGGAATAGTGCTGCTATCTGTTCAGGGTTTCCCATCTGTCATTTTTTGCTGCCTAAAATTGATCATATACATTGATCCAGTTTTTAAAACAAAGCTTCTCAGATTGCATATCTGTTTAAGACATTGTCTTCCACCATTCATAAGAAAACTACAACGTACAGTTCATGTTCTCTAATGATGTGACCCCATCTTTTATGGCTTTACATTGTCTCTGGGTTTCTGGCCCATGACAATCTATCTGTCCATGCTTTTGAAGCATGCATTGTCTCTATAATTCATTCACTGCTTTTTGTGTGTTTTCTGTTTTGATTGTTTTTTGCGTGTGTGTGTTTCTCACATGAATTGTTACCTGATGAATGAAGAAAAGATGGGGATTCTCTGGGTTGGTCATATTATACACAGATTTCTATAAATAGCATGATGTAAAAAAAAATGGAGTGAAGTTTTAAAGTTTTAATGCCAGCATATAACTCCAGCTCTAGACTGCCTTGCTCTTAATTTCATAAATTCTAGGCAAATAAAACTTACTGACTTTTCTGTAATGTTTTACATCTTTAGTTATGTTTCATTGTAAGACTGCAAGGATGTTAGTATAACTTTAATAACTTAAAATGTTTTAAAGAAATAAATCAGTTTTATTCAGTATTACAGTCTGAAAGATATAGAAACCTCCTGTGAATGGAAGTAATGTACTTATAAGTATGTGGATTCTCAAAAATAAAATAATATTTGAGAATACATAGCAAGTGACTTTATCATATTGTTGGCAATGTACAGTTTTAATGCTGTAAACTGAATATAGCATTATAAATATAAGAAAAATGAGTCACTTGCTTTATCTTAGTTGATATATGGAATGTAGTTAGAGGTTATTCAGAATATTGAGAAATTACATAAGGACACTTTAAAGTATGTGAAATACTGTGTTTATAATGGTCTGGTCAGATGTGAAAACACTGCACTTTGTGTAGTATAACTTGCTGCTTGCTTCTTATTATGTATGAAGTTGAAAATATTCCTATCAGTTTTTTGTCCCTGTTTTTATGGTCTTACTTTTTTTTTTTTTTAATGTCCAGCTCCTTTGGTTTGCTTAATGCCACAGATATTCTGTGATGAATACTTTTTCTTTAATGTACAAATTAACCAAAATATGTGCAGTATAAGTTATTTTTGCTTTGAGATATTTGAGTATCAGTAAGATAGGGAGTTTCTTCCTCAAATGAAATCAGCTATGTGCATGTTCATACATGTATGTATCCAAGCTCAGTAACGTCAGAGCACTCTGCCGGCCTGTCAGCACAGGTGCTAGCTCTGATGTCTCACACCCTCAGGCTGAAGGCCCTCATGCTGAGTCTGTTCCTCCATTGCTGACAAATACTGTTAAGTATCATGCTAATGCCTTTTTAACACTTAACATTTTCCTAAAAACAAACTGTTTTAACCTGTAATTTGGTTTTTCTGACATCCAAGTAAAACCATAAATCTGTCTTTTGAAGTAAACAGTTGCGTATTTGATCAGCAACACTGCCTGTATCTGATCAGATCTCTTATACAATGTTACATTGTAAAGATAGTGCCTATTGGATTAGGATTATTCTTTGAAGGGCACAAACCTTTGCATGAAAGTAGATTATCATTTGCACTGGTCACATTTGGTTGTTTCACATTTTAAATCAGACTGCGTCCCACAAGCCAGAGCTACTTCATGGATGTGCATTTCTGGGTGTGTTAGTTTTCATTGTCATGGAACTGAAGCGGGTCTAAATTTTCCAATGAGATTTTATTTTATTAAGATTTAAATGGAAGGAATAAAAGTGAACTAATTTTGAATTCACATGTATATATTTGATATGGATTTTTCTCCTTCTGCCTGCCTAAGGAAATTGAGAAATTGAGACTAGAACTGAGCGAAAGCAAGCAGCATGTGGAACAGGAACAGCAGAAGGCAGCTCGGGCCAGACAGGAGTGCCTGCAAGTAACAGAGCTGCTGGGCGAATCTGAGCGCCAACTGCACCTCACCAGGTATGCCCTAATCCCATTACACACTCAGCACCCAATGCATCCCACTGATTTCTGCCACAGGCTCCCAAACAGTTGTTAGTCTTAGTCATTCAATTCACACACAGCTTTGAGGCACATTACAGTAAGTGAGTACGTGGCAAGCAAAACACCCAGACACGTGAATGATGCGTGTGGCAGGGAATCACTGGTATATTACAAAACCGTTTGTCTACAGTACTCAAATATTTAAGTGATTCTTTACCAGTATAAGCAAGATGACATGTTTCTATAACCACCACCTCTCCTATTAATTATATGTCTAATAAAAAATATTGAAATGAAGACTATGAAGAAATGTACTTATGAAAATAGCCAGATTCTGTCAGCAGTGAGACACAAAAGGAAGAGACAGGCTATGAGCAGATTGCAGTGGAGTTGATACAAAAATAAGGAATGAGTTTCCTGAGGAGGTGTAAAATTTAGAGATGAAGTTGAGACTGTTTGCATTCAGATCATTATTGTAAGCAGGTTTACTGCAGCAAGGTTTTGAATTGCAATGTTTCCATCATAAGATATTGTGGTGCATTCATCATTGTTGTAAAGTTCAGTGAGCATATAGCTCATTAGAAATTAAAATTGGACTCTAGGTTGCAAGTATTGTGAGTTTGCTGATTTAGAAACATGCACATGCGTGTATGTACACATGCACATACATAAGATACATGCATGCATGTGTGTACATATGCACATACATAAACATACATCGAAAGAAAAATCCAGACGGAGAAGTAGATACTTAGTTCACTACTTCAGAGTTGACAGCTTTCGGGTTTTATATCAATCCTCCGAGTTTGTTCCACTCTGAGTGTCTCAGTTTTTCAGAGGGAATTTTGTCTATAATCACATATAAGTTTATGGTACTTGATTTAATTTACAAAGTAGGAAAACACTGGTCTTCCCATCATAGTAGTATGTTGAATTTAAGCTATGAAAGGGGACTGATCCCTTTTTGCATTAAATATGACAATGTAATTCCAAGCACGGTCTGATGACAGATGGAGAAGAACACTACTGAACAGCCTGCATTTGGAGAAAAAAAAAATATTCTAGAGGTTGGTGAACCTCCCAAAGTTTTGGGTTAGTGCTAAGATGCCTCCAGTTCTGTTCAAATCAAACTTTGTTAAAAACATTTTGTTATGATAATCTTCCAAATGGCTTGACACCTTCTGATTTAAGTAGCGAGAAAGGAGAATGCAACAGGGAAGAGAGAAAAGAAAGCACTTAGATATGTATGGTCCCTGGGGGAAGCCCCAACAGATGAAACACTTTTGTAAGGAAGAATGCTTAATATTGCAGAATAATAGCTGCTCTTTTAGTGTCCATTTAAAGCATTGTCTCTGTGGCACTGAAATCGTACTATTAACCCAGTTCCTGTGGTTATTTAATCCTCAAAATTTAAACTTTAGCTTCATCATGATAATGTTGCTAGTTTCTCTTTTCTGTCAGTCTTCTATTGAGAACCAACCATTTGTGTGCTAAGCACTACTAGGCTGTAGAAACGGGACAGCTTTTAATGTCTTGGTGAGACCGAGCTCTGGTAAATAAATATTAATGCTGCCTTTGCCCCTTTGCAATTCTGTCTTGTTCAGAGTTAATTTCTGGAGTCAAAGTCCACGGAGAGTTTTCCTACAGTATCAGTTTGTACCTTTTGACATGATCAGTTCCTGCAGTAGAGCATATTAAGTTGCAGTCACTGCTGACATGGATGCGCGTGGTGACTAATTCCTTTGTTCTTAAGACAAAAGGTTGTGCCTGGCTCCCTAGAAAGCTTTTTCTGCTGTGCTGCCCGTCCTCACATTCTATAAGTGCATAAGCCCACGTTGCAGAAATAAAGCAGTGCAGTACTTTTTATAAACATTTTCTGCTTCATTTAAATTCGTATTTGATAAAAACCACAATCATAAATTTCAAAATGACAATTAAAAAGCCAGGAAACCAGACACATTCCTCCTTCACACTGGAAATCAGCCATGCCTGTTGGGCCGAGTATTTCTGACACATCTTTAAGAGTTTTTGCGCTTGTATTTTGTTATTCATTCAGTATACCCGGGATGGCATCTTTCTGTATTGTGTAAGTCAGCTAAGTACAGACCCCCACCCCACCAACCCCCTTGCAAGTAAGCATTTCGCCATTCACTCTCAGACATTTTGAGTCACACAGTCTAGCCAGATTTTAAAATTAAATATGAAAATCATCTTAAAAATGATGGTGAAATAATGAGTCAAATTTGTATAGGCAGAGAAAAAAACTAAAACAGTAGTCGAAATCTGTAGGATATTCTGATTCTTGTCCTTATTTAAATTCAAATTGCATTAAAATTGGGAACTTTAATGTTTACTTGGTACACAATTATTTATTCAAAACCTAGTAGGTTTTAAGTAACTTGTCCATCCTTAAGCATAGAGAGAAAATAAGAGTCAATTTCCACCCTTCAGTTGCTCACACTAAGCTAGAGGAGTCAGCTCTTCTGTGGAATTGCAGTAGAGTGTTGCAGCAACACAGTGCTGGGAGTGAGGGCTACTGCAGAAATATGTAGAAAGGAGGATGACCTAGCTCTGCATTGCAGATCAAAGCAATGATAAAAGTTGATATGGCTAGGGAGTGTCTGGTAAAGTCTTAGTAAATAAGTTCATGTTAAGAGTTCCACAATGGAAAGAGATAGAATAGGTATTCTTGGTAAGGGACCAGTATATACAAAGATATAAATACAGGAGAAAACATAAACTCTACTATAAGACTAGAAAGGTTCTCAAGAAGGGACCAGAAGTGTAGCAGGCCATGCTACACAGGAGCCTGGTGATTCTGAGAGGATTGGCAGCTCTTGATACAGTGAGTTTGCTGTCAACACACTGGACGATGTGCATTCTGAATTAGGATCCTTATGCAACATTAGAAAGTGAGGTTGGAAAAGACACCCTGATTAGTCCAAAGTCAGCATCTAAATCTCATGGGCCACATCTGGCCTGCTGTCTATTTTTGTATACTCCATGCATGAAAAATGGTTTTATACTGTTAATAATTGGGGTAAGTAAAATTCATATTTTATCATAGCTAATCATCTGTAAATGAACTGTTGTGGTACCTAGTGACAGTTATCCTGTGTGTGATGGATGTCTGTGGTAACTGAGCTGAATGAGATCTAAAAGCCTGAACTCTTCCCTGCCTGGCCATTCACAGAGGTAGTTAAAGTCTTCAGGCACTGCAAGTAGAATGTCAAGAGAGCTTAGGGCAGATCAGATGTGTATTCTAGGAGATGAGTGAAAGTGTTGTGAAGATGGTTTGAGGAAGAGAGAAGCCTTGGGGAGGTGCCATCAAAGGAAACATCAAAGTCCAGGGGATGGTAATGAAGGTTGGGGCCATGGCTGTCTGAGCCAAATGGCAGGGGAATCGTTTGCTCAAAAAGCATAATAAGTATGAAAGGAACAATCAAAAGCAACCCCATAATTCCTGGTTTAGATTGATTAGATAATCCTCATCTCCAACCAGGAAACATAAAGAAGTAAAAGAGTATGTTGCATTGAGAAAACCTCAAGTGTCAGTGTGATAGATGGATGGATGGATAGATAGATAAATAGATATGATTGATATTTAGATAAATGATAAATCAGATGATAGATCTGTAGATATAGATGATAGATAATTGATGAGAGATAGATGATAGATAGGCACATGGATGGTAGATAGATAGGTAGGTAGGTAGGTAATAGAAGATAGATAGATCTATAAGTAGAGAAAGAGTAGATGATATCTAGATCTTTGAGATAAGGGACCAGTATATACAAATATATAAATAAATATGGGAGTATGTTAAAACCATCTCAGTAAAAAAAAAATTTTGGCCTTTGGTCATATGCATGCTAAGCATGCACCCTACCAATGAAATACAATCTTAGTTCAAGGACCCTGTTTTGAAAGTTCAGTGGAAAAGATCTGCTGGCAAACAAAAGTGAGACAGGGCCTTCAGATGTATAAAAATAAAGAAATATCATTTGAGACAGTTTAGTGTAAGTAATCAAGTGCTGTTAAAGCCCATGTTGTCCCTAAGGAAGTCATAAGGGGTGTATAGGACTCTGGAGACAAAACCTGGTCATAGTGTGCCATCTGCTACTGCAAGACAAACTTGGTCATAGTGTGTCATCTACTAACTACTGCAAGACAAACCTGTTTATAGTGTGGCATCTACTACTGCAGAGACAAACCTGGTCATATTATGACATCTAGTACTGCAGAGACGAACCTAGTCATAGTTGGGGCACTGGGACTGTGGAGACAAACCAGGGTTACAGTGAGGTATTTAATGCTGTACAGAAAAATCTCTTTTTTTAATCTTTAGACAAATTATTTAATGCTTTATGTCTAATTACTTGTAAGATGAGGTGGGAGGCTAGATTATTTATTCCTTTTTTATTGTAACTCTAATAGTAATTCTAACTGATTTATAAGATTCCCTTTTTTTTTTTTTTTTTTTTTTTTTTTTTTTTTCCTTTGAGACAGGGTTTCTTTGTGTAGCTCTGGCTGTCTTAGAATTCACTTTGTAGACCAGGCTGGCCTCGAACTCAGATCTACTTGCCTCTTCCTCCCAAGTTCTGGGATTAAAGGCTTGTACCACCACTTCCTGGAACAAGATTATCTGTTTTTAATTTCCTATTTCTGAGCACTTAGAGTACTTCAAATAGCCTGTGCATAGGATGCTCCCTTAGTTTGCATTTCACAGGGATTTTTCAGAACTGTTGTCACTCATCTTGCCATTCCAGTGTGCTGTAACACGGGCTCCACAGATCTCTCCACAGGGGTTATGGAGGTAGTCATCTAATACCTGTCCAATCTTCAGCTAAGCCTATTCCACACACCACCCTCTTGGTTGCCATATTACTTTATTTTTCCTTTAATTTAAATTTTAAAAAAGCGTTTTTTTGTTTTTTTTTTTTTTCTTTAACATGTCAATCCCAGTTCCCTCTCC